AGCCCACAAGCTGCAACTAAGGAGGCTGCCTGCTGCAACTAAGACCCGGTGCAACCAAATAAATAAATATTAAAAAAAAAAAAAGTGAAATGACAGCTCACAGAATGATAGAAAATATTTATAAATCACGTATATAATAAGGAACTGGTATCTAGAATATACACAATTCTTGCAATTCAGTAGTAAAAAACCAATAACCCAATTAAAAAATGGGCAAAGAATGTGAAAAGACATTTCTCCAAAGAAGATATGCAAATGGTCAATAAAAAACATGAAAAGATGGTCAATATAATTTGTCATTAGGGAATTGCAAATTGAAACCACAGTAAGATACAACTTCACATCTACTAGGATGGCTACAATAAAATAGACAGGTAATAACAAATGTTGGTAATAAGGATGTGGAGAAATTGGAAGCCTCACATGCTGCTGGTGAAAATTTAAAATGGTGCAGCCACTTTGTAAAACAGCCTGGTAGTTACATTTTACCCAGCAGTTCCACTCTTAGGTAGATACTTAAAAGAATTGAAAGCAGGTGTTCAAACAAAAACTTGTACTTGATGTTCTTAGCAACATATTCATAATAGCCAAAAGGTAGAAACGACTCAAATGTTCATCAACAGATGACTGGATAAACAAAATGTGGTATATCCATACAATGGAATACTATTCTGTCATGTAAATGAATGAGGTACTAGTACATGCTATAACATGGGTGAACCTTGGAAGCATTTTGTGAAGTGAAAGCATAAGACACAAAAGGCCACATACTGTATGATTTCATTTATATGAATTTTCTAGAATAGGCAAATCTGTCGAGAAAGAATGTAGATTAGTGTTTGCTCAAGGCAGACAGGGAGATAACAAGGGGCATGATAGTTTAAAAGTACAGAGTTTCTCCCTAAGGACTCCACACAAAAACTACTAGATCTAATGAATTCAGCAAAGTAGCAGGATACAAGAGCAACATTCAGAAATCAGTTGTATTTCTTTTTTTTTTAAATAAATTTATTTATTTATTTATTTATGGCTGTGTTGGGTCTTCGTTTCTGTGCAAGGGCTTTTTTTTCTCTAGTTGCAGCGAGCGGGGGCCACTCTTCATTGTGGTGCGCGGGCCTCTCACTGTCGTGGCCTCTCTTGTTGTGGAGCACAGGCTCCAGACGCGCAGGCTCAGCAGTTGTGGCTCACGGGCCCAGTTGCTCCGTGGCATGTGGGATCTTCCCAGACCAGGGATCAAACCCGTGTCCCCTGCATTGGCAGGCAGATTCTCAACCACTGCACCACCAGGGAAGCCCCATCAGTTGTATTTCTTTACACTAACTATGAAATATCAGAAAGGGAATGTAAAAAAAACCAAAAAACTGGAACTTCCCTGGTGGTGCAGTGGTTAAGAATCCGCCTGCCATTGCAGGGGACATGGGTTTAAGCCCTGGTCTGGGGAGATCCCACATGCCACAGAGCAACTAAGGCCGTGTGCCACAACTACTGAGCCTGTGCTCTAGTGCCCGTGAGCCACAACTACTGAGCCCTTGTGCCACAACTACTGAAGCCCACACACCTAGAGCCCGTGCTCCACAGCAAGAGAAGCCACCGCAATGAGAAGCCTGCACACCAAAACAAAGAGTAGCTCCCCTCTCCACAACTGGCCCCGGTCCGGGAAGATCCCACATGCCGCGGAGCAGCTAGGCCCATGAGCCATGGCCGCTGAGCCTGCACGTCCGGAGCCTGTGCTCTGCAACGGGAGAGGACAAGGGCTTAATCTCCAAGATATACAAACAGCTCATAAAACTCAACAACAGAAAAACAACCCAATTGAAAAATGGGCCGAAGACCTTAATAGACATTTCTCCAAAGAAGACATACAGACAGCCAGTAGGCACATGAAAAGATGTTCAACATCACTAATTATTAGAAAAATGCAAATCAAAACTACAATGAGGTACCACCTCACACTAGTCCGAATGGTCATCATTAAAATGTCTACAAATAACAGTGCTGGAGAGAGTGTGGAGAAAAGGGAACCCTCCTACACTGTTGGTGGGGATGTAAGTTGTTAACAGCCACTATGGAAAACAATATGGAGGTTCCTCAGAAAACTAAAAATAGAATTACCATGTGATCCAGCAGTTTCACTCCTGGGATCATTACTTGATTGACTTTGGGAGGGGTAGGGGTGGTATTTACCGGAAGGGAATGAAATAACTTGCTGAGGTGATGGAAATGTCCTGTATCTTGATTGAGGATTATATGATATAACTATTTGTTTAAGTTCATCAAACTGTATACTTGAGATTAGTGGAGTTTACTGTATGTGAAATATACCTTTAAAAAAATGGCCCTAAGGCCTGGGAGCTGGCATTATAGAAACTATTATAGGATCAGAGACATGGCTTCAGGTTTGAATGATGCAGTGGAGCTGGGATTGAACCCCTGTTTTATATGGTGTAGGAGCTTCAAAGAGCTTGAACTCTTCTGTCACTGAAAAGATAATTGTAAAACTGTTGGCCTTGCCTAGAAGAACAAGAAGAATCATATCAGTATGTGTTAGACCTTAGATAAAATTTGAAAAAAAAGTTGCCTAAAAAAATTAGTGCCCCATATCTTCTTCACCATGCAAGAGAATTTATACTGTTTGTTTGGTGCATAATCTCAAACTAAGAAATTATCAAAACTAGGCTAGGAACTTAGCATAAGCGAACACTAAATAAACCTCTTTTAAGAGTTTGAGACTCCACTGAAAACGTACTTACAAAACCATCCTAGGAAACCAAACCACCTTGACAGGGAGTTAGTACACACAACAGAGAGGAGTATCACTTTAAGGTTTGGAAATAGTATTATAGTCCATAAAGCAGTGTTTAAAATTGTTAAAGGGTTAAAAGAAGGCATAGAAAGCAGAATGAAAGAATGGAAGTTAAAAAAAAAGAAACCGTAAGTTGTAGGTATGATGATGAGACACAAAACAGTCGGTGAGACACAAAACAGTCACAGATATAAAATTACCCATATCCAAATGGCATTGCCACAATTTATTTAGGTAAAATAGAAAATTGAGTACAGAGGCTGTAGTCAAGTTGAGCAAGTTTTAATTTAAGATTACGTAATAATTTACTATATTTAATATTCTGAACTCTTATATAAAACACTTTAATACTGTAATCTTCTTAAGTTATTAGCTATTGAAGGGCCTGAAAGTCTGTTGATAACTTTCAAAAATTACAATTTGGATGGAGTATGAGTAGAACTCACCAGGTGGTTTTTTCCTCAAATGGTCCCCCTCAACTGATGGTTTACCCTAACCCCTAGCCCCCCACCCTGTTACTAACCAAGTGCAGCCTCATCTGAGCCTATGCATTCCTTCCCCCACCGAAGAGTCTTATGAAGGAGGGGATTATTGAGAATAGAATATTTTTATTGAGGTATCTTTTGACTAAGAAATGATGGTAACTTGGTAATACTTGTCTCTTCTTGAAACATTGAACATGTACAGTTAGGGACTCTGTTCTGGATAAATGAGATAGTGTTTTATTAGCTTACTTTTTAATTATAGGATACGAACTGTTTTTTTTAATTTTACAAAAGCCTGATATATCTATATTTATATCAGATATCTGTTTCTATATCTATCTATCTATAGTCTGATGTTACAGTATCATGAGATTCTGTCTCTTTAACTAAAACGTGGATGCCTATTCTCTGGATGTAGATACTCAGTTTAAGGAATTATAGTTTGGTTAAACCATGCAAACCTCCTTGAATTACTCTGCTTCTGTTTAACTTCTAAAATGATTCTGCCTTGAGAACTATTCATAGATAGTATCTTATTCCTAATTATACAGTAAATATGTACTAATGGAACTTTAGTTCATAATTATGTGTTGCTTAATTTGCCTCCATCTATTGTTAAACTATTCACTTTTATTTATTTTATTTTATTTTTTTATTATTATTTTTTTTGTGGTACGCGGCCCTCTCACTTTTGTGGCCTCTCCTGTTGCGGAGCACAGGCTCCGGACGCGCAGGCTCAGCGGCCATAGCTCACGGGCCCAGCCGCTCCGCGGCATGTGGGATCTTCCCAGACCGGGGCACGAACCCGTGTCCCCTGCATCGGCAGGCGTACTCTCAACGACTGCACCACCAGGGAAGCCCTCACTTTTATTTTTTAAAGGCAAACCTACATACATTTGAACTTCATGTCCTAACTCTAGACATGTTCTTGTGTAAATGATACTGACTCCTCCCAAACCTGGAAAACCTGAATTCTCTTTTAAATCCATTTATTCCCAATATTTATGGTACAATCTTCCTTCCCTCTTTACTGCTCGAGTGTCTCACTGTTTCAGTAGCACTAATCTGGGGCTTTGGTCCTTACTTGAATGTGCTCTCGTTCCTTTCCTCCCAATAGTTGATTCTGACAGATTTTCCAGCTTTGTTTTCATATTTATAAGTACAGAAGTGCTGCTGGGTTTTCCTGCTCTATAGTGCTTTTCTTCCTACTCTTTCAGCATTGACACACTTGGAATTCCTACACGTGTGGTTAATTGTGAGATTTGTGAACATTTAACTTTTGGTAAATTGTTTTGGGTATATTTCTCTTTGGGGTTCCATCAGAAACAATGTTTCTTGCATTGTTGCCAACTCTATGTTAATTATATTTCAGACCTGATAAAAAAGACACCATACAACTGTTTTTGAAATTTCCCTGGTATTTTAAATTAAAAAATTTTAGTATGATGTTAACTCACAACACTTTGAGTACTGAAAAAGGATACTTTTGAATACCTGAACAGGACCTTTATTTTTTCCTATTGTTTTTGTATAATTTCCTCAAATTAATTGGAAAAATTATTCACATTTAACCCCAATTATTTGATACATTTTTATTTACTCTTAAGATAGTTGGCAGCATTGTCCTTGATTGTCCTTGATTCTCTATTGGTTTGGGCTTATATAATGTCTTTTTCTTTTCTCCATTTTTTGTTTTTCTTTTGCTTCCTAAGGACATGATGAAACAGCGCCATGTGCAGTTTTGAAAAGTATGGACAGTATTAGCTTTCTCCAACACCCAGTCCACCAGAGGAGCTTAGAGATTCTGCAGAGGTGCAAGGAAGAGAAGTACAGTAAGGCTGCAAATCCTGATAAATAAACTCCATGTCATCATATCCATTTGGAAATGGAAACCAGGAGCATTCTACACCTGGGTGGGACATAAATAGCTTAGGCAATATGACTTCTATAATCCTTTGACCAGTGAGTCTCAGGATACTTCCATTGAGACTTTCATTCTTTTTTTTTGAAAAAGTTGATATACCTGTTGTTTTAACTTGGATGACTTTTAACTTGGATGACTATTTGTGATCCTTGAGTTGTTAATTATACTTGGTTACAGACTTTGAATTGGTTTCTGCTTTTGACTTTAAAGTATCCAAGTGATGAGTAAAAATGAATAATGATTTTTTCCTGTTGGTTTTTTTTTTTAACTTTATTGAAATCTAATTGAGGCAGTGTAAACTGCATGCCAAAGCATACAGTTTGGTAAGTTTTGACATATATATGAACTCATCACAATCAAGATAATTAACATATCTAACACTGCCAACAGTTTCCTCTGTCTCTTGAGAATTCCTGC